CGCTTGTGACTGGCCACCAGCTGGATTTAATAGTTTTTTTTTAATTTAATTTTTTTTTTTTTAATTTATTTAGATTCTGTCAGTCATTTTTGACCCTGATTGAATTTTACTTTGAGTGCCCTGGAAATTGTACTACTAATTCCAGGCCGTTGTTTCATTTGTATGTGGCAATGTGTACAAATTGTCAACTTAGAGGCATGCAGGCTACTTGTTTCTTTGGGAGTAGTCATTGGTCAGACTTTCCCTCTTGTGATGGAAAGCTGCAGCCAGCATGAGTATATATATCCATGGAGACAGAGAAACTGAGTTTCCTCTTTCCTGCTGTCCATGAGGAATGTAGCATGCACAAGGACACCTTAAGGCTATTTAATCTTCCAGACAAAAGAAGCTACGCATAAGCGTTCTAGAGGTCAGACTGTGTGTAGAAGTTAGAGGTGTCCTTAAGCCACATCAGGAGGGCATGAGCTGGATCCCATGCACTTTCAGGTCTTCAGACAAGGAGATAAAGAATCTTAGTCTATTGTTGAGGTGTCCAAATATTCTCTGGCATTAACACATCTCAGTGGGATAGTCTCCAGGCCTGGCAATAGCTGAGTGTACAAGCTGGCAGACACAGTATGAATTAAGTTGAAAAAACAGATGCAGCCTGCTCTTCAGAGTGTCCTAGTTAAGCATGTTCCAAAGGCTGATTTTATTTCTTTTTCTGTCTCATCCCTTTCTTTCTTTCACTTTTCTGGGTATATCATTTTGTAGAGATGAAGTGGCTCAGTTCAAGTATTGTTTCAGCCTGTCCTGCAAAAATTTTTACTTCTCTCAATTTACAAGTCTTAAATGCCTCAACAATCAAGTCGTTTCCTTTAGTCAATATATCTAGTTCTGTGATGGAATCTGGCTGTAAAACCACTGTATTCGTGAGACTGGTCCAGTGGTAGTCAGCATACTACTCCATGGCGCTCTGAAGGCAGGTTTTTTTTGAGTCACTGATTAGAAGGAAGGATGAAATGCTGATATTAGTAGAAGATCATAGAAGGGACTTTTAAGGTCATCTAGTCCAACCCCCCTGCAGTGAGCAGGGACATCTTCAACTAGATCAGGTTGCTCAGAGCCCCGTCCAATCTGACCTGGAATGTTTCCAGTGGGCATCTACCACCTCTCTGGGCAACCTGTGCCAATGCTTCACCACCTGCACTGTGAAAAATTTCTTCCTTCTATCTAGTCTAAATCTTCCCTCTTAATTTAAAACCATTATGCCTTGTCCTCTTGCAACAGGCCCTGCTAAAAAGTCTGTCCCCATCTTTCTTATAAGCCCCCTTTAAGTAACTGGAAGGCTGCAAGAAGGTGGTATCCCTGGAGCCTTCTCTTCTCCAGGCTCAACAACCCTAACTCTCTCAGCCTGTCCTCACAGGAGAGGTGTTCCAGCTCTCTGATCATTTTGGTGGCCCTTCCCTAGACGCGCTCCAACAGGTCCACATCTTTCCTGTGCTGCGGGCTCCAGAGCTCGACACAGGACTCCAGCTGGGATTTCACCAGAGTGGAGCAGAGGGGCAGAATCCCCTCCCTCAACCTGCTGGCTGTGCTGCTTTGAGTGCAGCCCAGGACACAGGTGGCCTCCTGGGCTCATGTCCAGCTTTTCCTCCACCAGTACCTCCAAGTCCTTGTCGGCAGGGCTGCCCTCGATCCCTTCCTCCCCGAGCCTGTATTGATATCGGGGATTGCCCCGACCCAGGTGCAGCACCCTGCTCTTGGCCTTGTTGAACCTCATGAGGTTCACATGGGCCCATGCCTCAAGCTTGTCCAGGTCCCTCTGGATGGCACCCGTCCCTCAGGCATGTCAACTGCACCACTCAGCTTGGTGTCGTCTGCAAGCTTGCTGAGGGTGCGCTTGCTGCCTCTGTTTATGTCACTGATGAAGATATTAAACAGTACTGGTCCCAGCACAGAACGCTGAGGACACTGCTCGTCACTGATCTGCATCTGGACATTGAGCCATTGACCACTTACCCTCTGGATGTGACCATCCAGATTACCACCATGTTGCTTTTACCCAAAAAGGACCTCTTTACAGACTTGAGTTCCTACCTCAGGTTGCCAGTGATGTTACTTTGCATTCTGTTCCCAAAGCTTTGCACATTGGAAGCTTAATCATTGCTCTGTGTTCTTGACAGGAGGAGAATCTTTTTACTTGCAGAGTCTGGGTCTTTAAGAAGCCTTAGCCAGGGGATCCACTGCTGAGTAGCACTTGCTGGGCAACTGTCCATTTGGCTCTTGGATAGTGTCATGACAGGCTGTAAGCCTGCTAACCTGAATTATTCCAGAGGTCCTTCTCTTTAGAGCCCAACTGACATCAGCTATCTCACCAAGAAGAATTTCTTGTGACATTTGTATGATATTCAGCAAAAGCTGTGTTACATATATATCTTTACCAACTGCTGGGCTATTGCAGAAGATTGCAGGGAGGTACTACTGCCTTTGGTAAAGTAGTCCCTCATCTGTGAGTCACCTGAAACCGAGAGCTTCATCTGTATGATCTGGATGTTTAGTTGGAGTCACCAACACTGTATATGGACATTCAAAAGCAGGACCTAAATTACTTAAAATTAAGCGTGATTTTTGAAGACGTATTGTCCTTGTGTGGTTTTGCTGACTCCTGCTCTTCTCTTTGGAGTCTGGAATTTTGTTAAGTGGAAGGGAGTTGGAAGTTAAGGGCAATATATATTTCATGAGAAAAGATACTTGCAAGTTGCCTTGATGGGGAAGGGAAAGGGGAAAAAAACTTTGCCTTGAAGGGGAAATGAGCTCAAAGTCTTGAAGTGTGTGTTTGTCCACGTTAATGCATGGGATAATATGTTATGAGGAAATTTATTTACTGTTGTGTAAATGATCTTTAGTTAAGTGATGGGATTTTGAAGGTGAGAGACACTTTGTATAGTTTTTCTTATTCTATTAGATACGAGTTCTCTCTGTTTATATAAACATTCATGTTTGTTAAAATTTTAAGTAGATAGCGTTCAGGATCCAGGCCTAAATTGTTTAAAGATCAATGCCTACAATAAAAGAAAGAAGTTAAAAGTGCACAAGAAAGAGACACACTTGATTTCTAAAAAATTGAATGCTGTTGGAAACAAAAGAAGAAAAATTCCCCTTAGGCAATGCTGTGTAAAAGTTATCTGCCAAATTTTACCATGAACTCCAAAAAGCATTTTATATTGAAGAAAACAATTGTTCTCGGTTTGGAAGTGCGGGAGAAAACCATGTTTTTTTCTGACTCTTTCCTCCCTTCCCTCAAGCAAAGCATTCTGGTAGCTGTGTAATATAATTTTGATGGGGCATCGTGTTCTTGGATGTTAAATAAACTATAACCATTTGAAGATGAGCATACTTTGAAAGGATATCCTTAGCACCCTTGAGAGAGACTAGTTTGATGTTTTGTAGAAACAGCACTTACTTTCAGCACACAGTGAGCAGAGAATGCACAAATTATTTTAATCACTCTTTTTTGTAGGGTATGGTAAGAACCTTTCAAATCAAGTTGTTACATGTAAGCCTATTCTAACTCTTCCTTGCAGGTCTGCTTCCCCATCAGGTCAGCGTCATTCTCCCATATCCTCCAGACATCACTCCTCTTCGTCACAGTCAGGCTCGTCTGTTCAAAGACATTCTCCTTCCCCACACCGCAAAAGAACTCCTTCTCCATCTTACCAAAGGACAGCTTCCCCACCCGTAAGGCGATCAGCTTCTCCCTATCCCCCACACTCTTCCTCGTCTCCTCAGAGGAAGCGAAGCCCTTCGAGACACCGATCTCCTGGAAGAGAAAAGGGAAGACATGATCGTGATAGGACTTCGCAGTCTCATGATAGGCGCCATGAAAGGCGGGATGGTATGAATAAAAAATTACACTTCACAATGATTTTTATTTGTTTGCAAATTGCATTTTGAAACTTAATTTTCAAATTGTGGCATTGTCTGCACCTATTCCAAAGGCTAGGTGGTGAAGAATATACTGGCTGTATTATCATTCCGATGCTGGTGGTGCTGTTTTCAGGGGCTGTGCAATGGTGTATTCCCGATAGGACTGGTTATGTAGTCTCATCTTGTAAAGATCCTTGTAGGCATCTGTCTAGGTGTTTCTTGTGTAGTGCAATGGTGGTGTCAGTAGGTAAATGATCTTCTCTTGGTATCAGGCATATACTAGTGGATCAGCTGACTGACAAGTAGGATGCTTGTAAGTAACTATTACTCTTTTTTGTGAGGTGCCCAATGCTAATCCAGTCCTCACTGATTGCTCTGTCAATTGTCTCTTTAATTGACATTGTGAGGTGTGTGCAAAGAAACAGTCATTCCCTCTGGAAATCTGTAAAGCTGGTTGAGTAATTTGTGATGGGAAAATATGCTGTTTCTCTCAAGAGACAGATTACAAAGACTACATATGTCAGCTTTTTTAGACTGGCTGTAAACTTACCTTACTGTACCAGTAACATTATAAATATGTAATTAAAAAAAGAAAAGAAAAAGGCTTTAGCGAGGCATTGAGGTCTTAAAAGCAAATGGTCTAAATAGAGCACAAATTTTCTGAAAATATATGTGTGTGGAGAAAAAAAGGAATATATGATTAGAAGAGAAATAATCCTACCTTAAAATTACTGAAGTGTGCTTGCTGTCTAATATGTTTGAAATTTATTTTTATTATACTTTCTTTTGAACAGGTAAATATTTGAAAATACAGATTCCAATTCACAAAGATCTTTAAAGCTTACTGAATGTATAGGTAGATACCCAACATGATCTTATGCTACTTACATATTAATTTTGATTTTCTGTGTGTATGTCAGAAGTCTGTTTTGACTGTATTATTTTAGTGTTATTTGTGTGCTAAATTTTTGCTTGCTGTGATTAAGCTAGTTATATAACATTCTTTTAAATATTTTACAGAAACTAGAGGGAAAAGGGAAAAAGAAAGAGAAACAAGAGATGATCGTGATTATGACCAGGAGCAGAGTACCTCCAGGGATCACAGAGATGACAGAGAGTCTCGTGATGGAAGAGATCGGAGGGAGACAAGAGACACGAGAGATCGGAGGGAGCCAAGGGAATCCAGAGACACGCGAGACTCCAGAGATACGAGGGATTATAGCAGAGATACCAAAGATAGTCGTGATCAGAGAGACTCACGCTCCACACGAGATTCCCATGACTACAGAGACAGGGAGAGTCGCGATACCCACAAAAAGGATGACCAATATCAGGAGGACTCACGCAGCTATGGAAGATCCCATGGCAGAGAGGAGAGCTCTCGTGCTGAAACAAGGAATGACTCCAGAAGTGACTCCAGAAATGAGAGCAGAAGTGATAGAACTGGCAGAAGTCGAGGCAGAGGTCCAGAATTGTCTGACAAGGGTATTGCATGATTTAAAAAATTAATAAGTGTCCCTATTATTAGAGATTAAATATTGACATTCATACTGTCGTGTTTGATATTTGATATGGAAATGCTGCCAAATAGTTCATGCTTTTAAAGCTATGTTTAATTCTATTGTCGTTAAATTAGAACAGTTGCTTAAATTTATAGCACTTGTATTCTCCATTGATTAAAGTGGCATAATATTGGTATTCTGCCATCCCATTTCAAAACAAACCTTAACCCTTACACCATTCTATTTAATGTTTCTGCAACCCTGGGTTTTCCCATGGGCTACAAACACAAGTAAGGCTGATGTGTAGTGGAAGATTTGTAGGGGACAGTGTGTCTGAAAGTACTGGGCAGCATTTTTTTTTTTGTTTTGTCTCAAAAGCAACTGCATATCTTAGGTACCTGAAAACTGTCTCTCACCTCCCCACCTCACCCTTGTTTGACCAAAAAAAGTGGGATTTTTAACCTTTGGCAGTATTTTTGAAAGCCTGAGGCACTTTGTAGAACAGCTTCACTTACCCCCTTTTAATCATCTATAGTAAATGTATTTTGGCTTTCTCAGGCTTATTGTGATGTTTTCATTAGGAAAATGCCATACAATTTTTACAGGAGAAATGATCTCTACTTTCTCTGCTTATTCCTTCT